TTTCCCTAGCAAAACTGTTCCTCTCCCATTTTTATGATTTAGAAGAGTAACACCACCATGCATGACTTCCTCATGGGGCCTTAGGCCCCAGACCAGGGAGTCATCGTGAGCCATTCTTTTCCTCAAATAGCCAATCCATCAGCAAATCTTGAGGGCTCTGCCTTCAAATAAATTCAGAATCCTGCCACTTCTTACTATCTCCACTGCTCTGGTCCTAGTCACCTCTCTCCTGAATCACTGCAAAAGCCACAGTCTAACTCATCTTTGGGCTTCCATTCTTGGTGCTCACAGTTCATTCTCCCCCCCCAGCAGTCGGAAAGATCTCAGAATATAAATAAAACCCCTTGCTTAAAGGGATAAATTATTTCCCTTACTTAAGGCCCTCCAGTGACTGCTTTTCACAACCAGAATAAAATTCCATATTTCTCATTCACCATGGCATTGCCTGGTTGTGCCCTTGCCTACTTCCTCAACCTTACCTCCTACCACTTTTTCTTTTCCCCACATACTAGCCACATTGATTTTATTTCTGTCCCTAAAACACTCTAACTTATTCCTTTTTCAGGGTTCTGCTCTTGCTCTTTCTTCTGCCTAGAAATCTCCTTGCCTGGATCTGTGTGGTGGTCTTCTCATCACTTAGGTCTCAGTTGAAATGTTACTTCCTCAAAAAACAAAGAAAGAAAAAACTTCCTTGGCCATTCCCTAGCAAAAGTTGCCCCTTGCATGAAATCTCCATTTCACCACTGTCCTATGTTATTTTTGATTGCATTTTTTTCATGGTATGAAAACATATTATTTGATCATTTGTTTATTTGCTTATGATCTCCCCCTTCCTGCCTCTCTGCCAGACCCCTTTGTGAAATAACTCCAAGAGGAAAAGTCCTTTGTTTTGCTAATCACTGAATCTTTAGTGCCTGGAACAGCACCTGATATACAGAAGGAGTTCTGTGAATTAGTGAATTCGTATATTTAACTCAGTGCCTAGCAAACAAGAAACTGAATAAACATCTGTTGCAATAGCTTGATGGTGGAAAAGGGCAGGTTTTTCTTGAACACAGTCTTCTGTAAGCCAGTGTGAGAACTGATCCCAAGACTTGCTTTCTAATGGCTTCATTTCACCTAATTAATATGACCTTTTGCAATGTACAGAGGCTGACATTCTTGTCTGGACAGTATTATTCAAAATTCTGGTCCTGATATTAGCATTGTGAGGAAATACCCTTCCCCAGCTACAGCCCTCCCTTTATTCCAATGACTTACATATTTCTTAGCATTTGCCTTTCCCAAGTTCCTCAACAAATTCCTCACTCGACTCTTTACCCCTTTTCTTCCTTTTCTTATCATTTGGTGTATTTTATTCTTGGCATTCTGTTTTTAGTAGGGGCTCAATAAATGAAGTGTTGTATTTATTTTATCTTTGTAAGACAGCTCTCAAGCCCAAAGCAATACTATTAATTGTGAGCACCCTGGTGACTTTAGGCATGTTTCAATTTTGTGTTTTGGCTTGAAGTCTCCTATGAGGTTGCTGTCAGCTGACAGCTAGGTCTGTAGTTATCTGATGGCCTGACTGGCAAGCCCTATTCAAGATGTGAATGCCAGGAGGTGAGGATGGTTAGGGCTATCCTGGAGGCTGGCCACCACGGAGATGTTGTGAGCAGCAGAAAACCTTTTATTGCAAGAAACACAATATGCAATTAAAAATGGTTTAAGTTATAAGGACTCATATACTATTTCATATAATAGGAAGTCCATGGACAGGGCAGTCATAGGGTTAATTCTTGGCCTTGATAACCTCCTCAAAGATTAACAGCTCACCATTTCTTCACTTTGACATCTTTGACATGCTGGAGATGTCCCCTATCATGGTCACATGTTGACTGCAGTGGTTTCAGGGGTCATATGCAGACAGGGCCACATCCACTGACAAGGAAAGGAATGTCAGTTCCGTGAGTCAATTTTATTATGAGAAATAACATTCCCTGGAAGTACTGCTGTAGATGTCTCAGGTCGAAATGACCAGAATTAGGTAACATAGTCATACATAAAAAACATAAGATGTATATCGTGAAGCCATCTGTTTGGAAGCATTACCGTTGTGTTAAGTACACACCTCATTTTTTCAGTCAGAAAAGGAAAATATTGGTGCCCACAGAAACTCAACTTTAAAAATGAAAAAAAAAAATTAGAGAATTTTACAGATATTTTAGTATAAATGTATTCAATTCCGTCAGGACTGTAGAACTTCCCAGAGTATCAGTACGATGTTTTTCTCATCTCCCCAAGCAAAGGGGGAAGGAATGGCTCGACTAATGACCTTTTTGTGGTATTTACCCATTGGCCTTTTCATGTGACCCTAGGATGGTCTATTTTGCTAGGTGTGGTATATAATAATGGATGTGAACGAACACACTGCAGAAAGATGAAGGATTTATTGACCATAGTTCTTGCACTGACACCTGCTAATTAGCAATAAGTGGCTTGGAAAGTGAAATGTGAAAGCAAAATCGCAGACGTGAATTCTCACGTACATGCTTCCAGGTTATTTAGAACGTGCCAAGTTTTCACTAAGAATCAAGAATTAAGCTAGAAGACAAGACAACATGGGCATATACTTAGTAAAGAGAAGATTTATGTTTTATCGAGTAGTATACTATGCTCCGTTCTTTTGAAAATTAAAATTTTCAGACTCTTAACATTTTCCAAAATAAGGCGATTTAAAAATACCTTTATTTTTATGCTTGTTAGTGGTCTGTTTTCTTGTCCAAAGAGAAACTGAATGATAAGTTCTGCTTAAAACACTCTTAGGCCACAATGGACTTTCGTTCGTTCGTTCTCGGCCTTCAGTGAGTTTCTGAAACTTTCTTTGCCCAAGGCTAAGATACTCAAATAGGGGTTTATTAACATTAACATACCTGTAATTCTGGTTCTTAGATGAAAAGCATATCTGAGCTTGGTTCTGGAATCCTTACTCAGGTAAAACTCCCATTTTTGGCTGAAATCTTTGGCACCCTGTGTCTGATTAAGACGCCTGCATCCAGTTCCAAGTAACCCCATTTTGGGACAACTGGCGCTGATACCACTTCTCAACCCCCTACCCCATTCAGTGTCTTCCACCCCAAAGGACAGTCCAGAACCAACCAGTCGCTGAAACCGTTAAACGTTATTTGTTTTCTTGAGGTGAACCACGCGCATAACACACCCCTTTTGAGTGAAATAATGTCATTGTGTAGCCATTTGTCACCCCTGGGTGGATGAGGTCAACGAACTCTCCAAAGTTGCTGTCTCAGGAATAAATTTCATTCGTGGTTGGAAAAACCAAGTGAGGAATGTTATGGGAAAGGGAAAATAACTTTTATTTGCCTGGTGGTTAAGTAGGGATAAGTAAAAATCGAGCCGAGTACGTGCTTTGTTTGAGCGACGACGCAGTGCGTTGAGTGGAAGACAAGACGCCCATCGGAACCGGCTTCTCCCTTTGTCTTTCACTCCACCCGAGGTGGGGGGGAGGGCGTGTCATGCGGATCTGGGGTGGCGGGACTGAGGGGGCTTGCGGCGCCCCAGCGGCGAAGGCGGAGGCGCCAGGACGCCGCTCCTGGCTTCTCAGGATGCCAGCCGGCTACACACAAGGTCGGGGGCAAGGCCGCGCCGCGGCTCGGAGCCCCAAGGAGGGGCGCGAAGGAAGTGAGGGCTGCCAACCCGAGGGCGAGCGGCGCGGGCGGCGCCAGCCCGGGGGCTGCAGCGGGCGGGGCTTGCGCAGCGCGGCTCCCGGGGGAGAAAGGAACCTCTGCAGTGGCGGGGCCGGGCCGCGGCCGGAAGACGGGGGCAGGGGGGCAGCGAGGAGGGAAGAGACGGCGGGCGGGGCCTCCGGCGCGCAGCCCCAGTAGGTCTCCGGGAATTTTCCACTAAGGCGCGGAGCGCCAGAGCCGCCGAGGCGCAGCCCGCCTCTGCGCACCCGGGGCCCACGTGACGGTGATTCACCAGGCGCCGCCTCCCGAGCCCCGGGCGGGGAAGCGACGGGGTGAGGAGCGAGTGTGCAGTGGAGGAGAAGGAGCGGGGGAGGGGCGAGGACGCTGCGGAGAGTGAGGAGGGATGTGCGGGGCAGGCGGGTGGAGGAGGACGTCGGAGGTGCGGAGGCCCCTCCCGCGTGGCCGGGGCCTGCTGGGCGGCTGCCGTGCGCTCGCGGGCAGTGCTCGCGGGCCACGCTCGCCCGGGGCGAGCCCAGCGCCTGCCTGCGACGGGGAAACCTAGATAGCCCTCAAACGGCAGGGTTCTTCCGGGGTGCTTTGAGGAAAGCCACAGGGGGGCTGAGGTCCTGCGGGGTTTCCGCAAACGCGCCGGGCGGCTGGGGGATGCCCCGCTTGGGAGATCGCAGTGTGGGGAACAGTCACGCCCTGTTGGAGTCTGTCTGTGCCTGTGTACGTGGCTCCTGACGTGGACAGCCGCGGCGCTGGAAGGCGGGCACCGGAGGGAGGCAGAGAGGGACAGACGGACAGAAGGAAGGGTGCGGCCTTGGGCCATCATCCGTGGCCTGGGAGACCCACAGGCACCGGTATTTGTCCGTTTAAACCCGCAGACCCACCAGGAGACCCTTGAGGCTTCGGTGGACGTGGGGGTTGTCGTGCAGCTGGTTCCAGATGGTTCCCCCGTGACGACTTTTGGAATTGGCATACCAAAGATTTCCTCTTACCCTTCTGCTGTGTTGATTAGACATTACACAGACACCCCGCCCTTATCGCTGCCCTTGCAAGGAAACATTTATTACAGAAGTACTCCCTACTGTTTCATCTCTCATGTCCTTTTAGGTTCTTTCGAGTAATTGTGACCTTTTCCTTTTCCTCAAGTTCCATCAAAGACTTGGAAACAATATAAAAAGAAAAAAAAAAAACTAGCCTGAATTAGAAAGTTAAGATCTTTGTTTACCAAATGCGTTGCCTGGGAAGGCATCCTTGTGGGTTTGCTCTGTTGAGGTTTCCCCAAGGCCTCTTCTGGGGCCTTTTCCTCTCATTTCCACCTCGAGGCAAAAGCTGCTGAACTTGCTGGATGCCTTTTCCACTTTGGTTTTAACTTTTGTGCCGGAACTATGTATACTGTTTTCCCGTAGGTTTCTGCAATTAGAATTACTGTAACTAAAAAGAATAGCTAATGTTCGTGCACTGCTTGGGATAGGTGCTATTTCAAGTTATTTATAAATGCGTGAATATTTAATTCATCAACACTGTATGGTGGGGGTTATTATACACCTTACCTCATTCCTTAGAGGTCGGGAAATGGAAGTTAGATAACTTGCCCAAGGCCATCCAGTTTGTAGGTGGAGGAACTGGAATTTGAAGCCAGACTATTGGAGATAAATCCCATGCTAGTGGTCGCTACGGTGTGGAAATTTCCCATTAACAAACATAATTGTCCTGAAATATTAAATGTACATTTTGTTGGAATTCCCTCCCCCCACCTTTTATTTATTTAGCCTTCCTGAAGTTTATTTTGAAGAGATGTCTAAATTTAGTTGGGGTGGAAAACCACACACAATTTAAAAAAGAAACTTATGAAGAAATCATGCATTTCAGGGCAGTATTATTACATTTTTCTTACATGGAATATTATTGAAATATTTGACTTAGGAACTTCTTTTTCTCGGAAGGGTTTGTCTTCAAATACCTTTAACCCCTAGTAAATAGTAAAACCTCCAGGAAAATGAGGATGAGACTCTACAGTTGTCAGTGTTGGATAAATATATATTGATTGAAATGTGCTTGAGAAGTGAATACCCTTGAAATGGTCGATGACATAATGCAAAGTGAAAAGGAAATTTCCAAAAGAAACATGAATGTTGGATACGTTCAATAAGAAGATACTATGGATTTCTTTCCTTCTTCTCTTCCTCCCTCCTACCTTCTCTTTTATTTTTATGAAAAAAATTAAAAAAAAATTTTTTTAACGTTTTATTTATTTTTGAGACAGAGAGAGACAGAGCATGAACGAGGGAGGGGCAGAGAGAGGGGGAGACACAAAATGAAAGCAGGCTCCAGGCTCTGAGCCATCAGCCCAGAGGCCGACGCGGGGCTCGAACTCACGGACTGCGAGATCGTGACCTGAGCTGAAGTAGGACGCTCAACCGACTGAGCCACCCAGGCGCCCCCCCAAAAAATTTTTTTTAAATGTTTATTTTTGAGAGAGAGACAGAGTGTGAGTGGGGGAGGAGCAGAGAGGGAGGGAGACACAGAATCTGAAGCAGGCTCCAGGCTCTGAGCTATCAGCACAGAACCCAGTGTGGGGCTTGAACTCATGAACCGTGAGGTCATGACCTGAGCTGAAGTCCGACACTTACTGACTGAGCCACCCAGGCACCCCTCTTCCTTCTGCCTTCTTGCAAAAATATACTGAGTTGGGATTTAACAGAAACCAGGAGACCAATGTACGCATGGGGAACATAGTCTCTGTCCATTCTTGGTCTGTAGTGAACTCATCCAACCTCCCTACTTTCTTATTTTTCCTTGTATTTTGTATACATTTATCTATGTTTACTACTAGGTATTAACTACCCAGGGCTAGGGATACACATTTTGTTTGAGTGGGTGTATATGCCATTGGCCCGCTTGTTATTTTGCATGTTATAGTTTTTTGATGTTAAATAAGAACAAAAACAACTGAAAAATTTTGTGTCTAGTTAGCCAATTTTATTTCAGGACCCAATTAATGGTCAGAGGCTTAATAACCATAGGCTTAATCCTGACCCCGCAATTTGGGCTCCTTAGAATGATAGAATCATAGGATTTTTTTGCTGAAGGGGACCTTATTACTGCTCTGTCCAATGCACATCTACTAGCCCCACAAAGCTATTTAAATTTAAATTAATTAAAATTAAATAAAATTAAAAATCAAGTTCCTTATAGTATTAACTATATGTATATATATGTATGTATATATATCTTTCAAGTACTCAATAGCTATATGTGACTTGTGGGTACCCTATTGGACGGTATTGAAATAGACATTTTCATGACTGCAGAAAGTTTTTTTGGACAACTGATAAATGAAAAAAATAGGTAGAACACTTTTTTTTTATTTTTTTTTTTAATTTAAAAAAAAAAAATTTTTTTTTTCAACGTTTATTTATTTTTGGGACAGAGAGAGACAGAGCATGAACGGGCGAGGGGCAGAGAGAGAGGGAGACACAGAATCGGAAACAGGCTCCAGGCTCTGAGCCATCAGCCCAGAGCCCGACGCGGGGCTCGAACCCACAGACCGCGAGATCGTGACCTGGCTGAAGTCGGACGCTTAACCGACTGCGCCACCCAGGCGCCCCGATAGAACACTTTTATTGGCCTAACTATGTCACTGTTAACTAAAAACTATTTCAGATTGCTTAGTTCTTTTACATGCAAAGAACATCGTATTTGGGGTGCCTGGGTGGCTGAGTTGGTTAAGTGTCCAGCTCTTGGTTTTGGCTCAGGTCATGATCTCACGGTTTTGTGAGTTCAAGCCTTGCGTTGGGCCCTGCACTGGCATTGTGGAGCCTGCTTGTGATTTTCTCTCTCCCTCTCTCTCTGCCCCTTACCCACTTATGCTGTCTTTATCTCTCTCAAAATAAATAAACTTAAAAAAACCCCACACATTTCAAATGTTTATTTGTATTTGAGAGAGAGACCGAGAGCGAGCAGGGGAGGGTCAGAGAGAGAGAGAGAGGGAGACACAGAATCTGAAGCAGGCTCCAGGCTCTGAGCTGTCAGTGCAGAGCCCAACACGGGGCTCGAACCCACGAACCATGAGATCATGACCTGAGCTGAAGTCGGACACTTAACTGACTGAGCCACCCAGGCACCCCAGCATCACATATTTCAGATGTTTGTTATTTCATATAGAATAAAATTTTCTTCCTTAACAGTTGTGTTTAAATTAATGCAAATTTAAACATATTCAGAAGAACTGATGGTTCAAAAGGACTCCTCTTTGTTTCCCTTAAAGTGAATATTCCCCCCCAACCAATCCTTTGTGAATCTTAGTTTTTTTCTATGTACAAGTGCTCTAATCAACTTGAGTCACTGCACAAGTTTGACATTCATTAGATTTGGCTGTACATTTTAAGCTTGCATGATTGAGAAACTCAGATTCTCAGTAATGTTGGTAAAGGACAAATGCCAGATGGTTTTGGAATGTCCAAATCTATATTTAATGACATCACACGTGCAATACAGACAGTTCTCAATTTACAAACACTTTATTCAGAAGCAGCCCAAATATAAAACATACTAGCATACCTTTTTTAAACTCCTCCTTAGAACAGTATTGCCAAGGTAGTCTGTGCAAGTTAGTATATAAAAAAATAAGGGTAAATCTTGAAGTTCTTAAAGAGTGTATAGCTTGGGTTATGGAGGCAACGAAAAAGCTGTGAAAAGCCCTGGGGAATCAGTAGAGGTTGTTTCCACAGTGGCACAGATTTGCTTAAGCGGTAACCCCCTGACAAAAATAGTCCAGTCCCACCTTTCCCCAGCAGACCCCACCCCTTCTTGCTCAAGATCCCTTCCACGCCCCCTGGGTTCAAAAATCCTCCACTTTTATTTGTACTCCAGTTTAATTTCTGTCAGTTCGAAGTTCTGTGGTCTTGGGCAAATTTGGGTCTGAAGTTTCCTTTCAGAGAAGGAAACTTCTCTGAGCCTCAGTTTCCTAAACCCTACAGAAAGAATAATAGCATGCTGATTATCAAGAATTAAAGGAAAATTTATGTAAAAATACTTAATAGATTAGAAGACTAGTATAAAAACAAGGCATTATGGGGGTGCCTGGGTGGCTCAGTTAGTTAAGTCTCCAGCTCTTTTTTTTTTTTTTTTTTAAAGTTTATTTATTTACTTGGAGAGAGTACAAGCTAGGGAGGCACAGAGAGAGAGGGAGACAGAGAATCTCTACCAGGCTCCACGCTGTCAGTGGGGAGCCTGACGCAGGGCTCAATCTCACGAACCCAGGAGATCATGATCTGAGCTGGTCGCTTAACCGACCGAGACACCCTGGTGCCCTTCTTCTGGCTCTTGTTTTCGGCTCAGGTCATCATCTCACAGTTCGTGAGATCATCCCCCTCATCCGGCTCTGCACTGACCTCGTGGAGCCTGTTTGGCATTTTCTGTCTTTCTCTCTCTCTCTGCCCCTCCCCCTCTCTATCTTTCTCTCTCTCAAAATAAATAAATGAACTTAAAAAAAAAGAAGGCATTATGATTATATATTGATTAGTAAAGCTGAAAGACATCCCCCCCCCCCCCAACAAGGTTAAATGGTTATCAGTCACCTGCATATGATGGGGATCTGGTTCATCAGAATATTTAAACGAGTTGGTGGCTTGAATGTTCTTGGGGAATGAGGGGTGTTGGAAGGCAATGAAAAATAATAGGTCAAAATTTCAAAGGAGGTTGGGTAAATACCACGTTTTCTTTTAAAGAGTGAATGTAATTGCTTGCATTTTCTCTCTACTTCCTTCTTCTGTTTCATTGATTATTCCTAAGGCTAAAGTTTCTCCTTTACATTTTAATTCACCTGACATAGCATGTTTTAAAAAATTTAGCGTTGCTTGCTTTGATTTTCCAGTTGTCTTTTGCTGATGGAGCTTCTGTGAAGGGCAAACTCAAAGTACAACTGGCTGCCCCAGCACAGGGGAAGGGGAGTGGCGGTTGTGAGCGGGGACCCAGCAGCTACACCTTTAGCCCTCGCGTGAGCAGTGCCAGGTACAGCTGCTTGCTGGCCCTACGGCAGAGGCTGCAATAGTTAGACCAGACCAGATCAATCAAACCAAGCCAAGCAAAAAGGAGAGAGAGACTGAGAAAGAGGGAGAACAAAGGAATAGAAGTAGTGAAGAGGAAGGGAAGGACACCAAAGAGAGTGATGGATAATGTCAATAGTTCTAAGTACAGTACAGGTACCAGCTTATTTAAGCCTCAGGACAATCCTATGAGGTAAGCTGTGTTATTATTATCCCCATTTGATAGTTGAGGAAACTGAGGCACAGAGATGTTGAGCAACTGTCCCCAATGTCACACAGCTCCTAAGTGATAAAAGTGGGATTTGAACTCAGTCTGGATCTGGAGTTTGTGATCTCTTTTTTTTTTTTTTAAGTTTATTTATTTACTTTGAGACAGAGAGGGAGGAGAGAGAGAGAACTTGCATGTGCTTGAGCATCGGGAAGGGAGAGAGAGAGGGAGACAGAGAATCCCAGGTAGGCTCCATGCTGTCAGCGCAGAGCCTGAGGTGGGGCTCCATCTCATGACCCGTGAGATCATGACCTGAGCCGAGATCAAGAATTGGACACTCAACTAACTGAGCCACCCATGCACCCCGGGGGTTTGTGATCTTAACCACTGCACTAGCTGTTCTCAAACTTTCTGGTCTTAAGACCCCTCCCCTCTTAAACTTTTAAAAATTATGGAAGACCGCAAAGGGTTTGTTCAGGTGAGTTATATCTGTTAATATTTACCATATTAGAAACTTAAACATTTAATTCATTAAAAAATAATAAACCAATAATATGCTGATATAAATAACATGTATGTATGTATATATGTATGTATGCATTTTTTTTAATTTTTGGGGGGAGAGAGAGAGAGAGCATGAGCCTGGGGGAGGGACGGGCAGAGAGAGATAGGGAGAGAGAGAGAATCCTAAGCAGGTTCCATGCAGCTTGGAGCACAACTCACAGGGCTCAATCTCACCACCCTGAGATCATGACCTGAGCTGAAATCAAGAGTTGGACACTTAACCAACTGAGCCACACAGGTGCCCCTAACATAAAGAACATTTTATTTATTTATTTGTTTCTTTGTTTATTTTAAGTTTGTTTATTTATTTTGAGAGTTTCAGGGGGCGGGGGGGTGGGGTGGGGGGAGACTGGGGAGGTGCAGAGAGAGAGGGAGAGACAGAGAATCCCGAGCAGGTTCCACATGGTCAGTGCAGAGCCTGATGTGGGGTTTGAACTCATGAACCATGACATCATGGCCTGAGCTGAAGTTGGAAACAACTAACTGAGCCACCCATGCGTCCCATAAATAGCATTTTAAAGTGAAAATAGCTGTATTTCTCAAAATAAAAACATTTAGGGAGAAGGATGGCATGGTTTTACAGTTTTGCAAATTTCTGCACTATGCCTCTTTTGGTGTGATGGTGGTTAAGAAGTGGGAAGGTAGGCGCCTGGGTGGCTCAGTCGATTAAGCGCCGACTCTCAATTTCAGCACAGGTCATGATCTCGTGGCTCGTGGGTTTGAGCCCCGTGTCAGGCTCTGCACTGGCAGCATGGAGCCTGCTTGGGATTCTTTCTCTCCCTCTCTCTGCCCCTTCCCTGCTTGTGCTCTCTCTAAAATAAATAAATAAACATTAAAAAAAGCTTTTAAAAGAAGTGGGAAGGAAATGAGAGACCGGAGGGCATAAAGTGATGGGAAGTCAAGGCCTGTCTCAGTGAGCATGCCATGTAGCCTGTATGAGGAAGAAATGGTAACAAAGAATTGTCTGAATGGGATAGAGCAGCATCTGGATTTTTATGCCTGTCTTTCTCTTCAGTAGGTTGTTTGGCATGTCTCTCTCTCTCTCTCTTTCTCCATATATGTATGTATGTATGTGTGTGTATATATATATACATATATGTATAATATGAATAATATATATATACTTATACACATATATATTTACACATACACATGTATATGAGGTTCAATATAAAAGGTTGAGTGTAAGAGTCTGAATTGGAAGGGGTTTTAGAGATTTGACTAATTTTATGAAGGGAAGCAGCTGAGGCTGGAACATAACATCCCTGGTTGCACTACTGATTAGTGGGAAGACTGGTGGTAGAACCCAGGTCTCCTGTCTTCTCGTTCCACTTTAGAATGTCATGTCATGGGAATTAGTAAATCTAATTATGCAGCTGTTAGATGCATTGATTTCCACCAGAAAACTTGTGAATTGACAACCATAGAATCTATGGTAAATTCACATGCTTCATCAGTGACATTGTGAAAAATTGCTCTTCTTTCAAAAGTGCCTCTCCCCAAATGTCTTGGTCTGGTATTTTGTTAGGACCCCTTACAACTTTTTGCTTCCTGTCTTTTGTCTCACAAGTAGTGCTGAAGAGAAGATGAGCTTGATGTTGAAAGAGGGTGAGGGTAGGAGAACCGGCAGTTCTGAGACGTCTGAGAACACCGATTGGCCAGTCTCTGTTATCTGCAGGATCCACTTTTCTTAAGGATGAGCATATTTTGGTCTATAGGTTTCCAAGACAAGCACATTCCTGCCAACATGATCCCTGGACAAGCTGTTCTGGAATTTGAACTTGCTACTGAAAAGGGGTTAAGTCCAGGGCACACACACTCATTTCGGTGGGGGGTGAGCCATAGTTGGCTATGTTAGCACCTCATTATACAACAGTTTCGGGATAAAGTGATTCCAGATGTGCTCTCAGCAAGTACCTAGCACTTAACGCTTTTAATCCATTAGGCTAAAAAAATCCACCCTTCTGAATTTTGGAGGAGCCAGAAGTTAGTTAATTAACCAGTCATTCTTAGTTTATAAAGTTGATTCTCAATTGGCCATAATTTGCAGAATGCTTCAACCTAGCCAATTACAACCATATAAAATGTATATATTTACACATACATACATGAATTCACACACACATGTATCTGATGATGATTAGAAGTTCCTTCTGAGTACTGATTTAATGAGAGTTAAGTTCCTCTGTCCTGGAAATTTCATTTAGAAAAGTTAAGAGCACATGTATCTAAGAAGTAGTATTCTAGGTTCCTTCTTCCAACTGGCGAAGCTGCTTGTGACTCTGAAGAGTAAACTTTGTGGGAAGTCCTGGTTAAAGACTTACCCCCTCCCTTACCTTTTTAAACGCAATTGAAATTTTTGCACTTCATAAACTTTGTTACCTGAATTTACAAAGAAGAATTGAAGAGAAAAGGTGCTGAATGTCTTCTCTGACAAGTCAGATTTTTGTGAAGAATATGGGATTTTTGCATCACTTGGTTCTGGAAAGTGGGGAGCTCAGGGTGAGCATTTCACTTTGCTTTAAAATACGGTAAAACCTTGGTTTGCAAGCACAATTCGTTCTGGAAACATGCTTTTAACCCACAGCACTCATGTAGCAAAGCAAATTTCAAGAAACCATTGGCTCAGCTGTGATCACGTGACGTTCGGCAACATGTACTACCCATATTGCAAGACATTGCTTGTTTATCAAGTTAAAATTTATTACAAATGTTTGCTTGTCTTGGGGAACACTTGCAGAACAAGTTACGATCCAAGGTTTTTACTGTATTTCAGATTTGACTGCAGAAAGTATGTGGGGTTTTTGTTGTTGTTATTGAATGCAAAGCAAACCTGGTCTTTGCTTACCATAGTTGAGAACATTGCATTCTAATATGCTCTTTTGATATGATATTAAACATATTTTGAAAAATTTAGGTATTATATCTGGTTTTAAGGACCACAGTATGTATTTTTCAAAGACTTTAGGATGTTGTTCACTGGGTGGAAGTATTGGAAAATATATTCTTCAGAGGTACTTGTTTTGTTGCAGCTAAAGTAGCAACTACAGCAGACAGTCTAGATAAGAGAATGGACTCTGGATCTAGACTGCCTAGCTTGATTCCTGGTTCTGCTTTTTTTTTCTTTTTTTTTGCTAGCTGTGTGCATCCACTTTCACACATGTAAAGGATGAATGATGACTGGTGAGGACTTAATGCTTGCAAAGAAAGCACTTAGAACCCTGCCTAACACATATTAAACACTATGCAAGTGTTTGTTTAAACAAATAAAAAAATCTCAAGCTTTGTCTCTGCCGTGCCGTAGATGCTAATATCGAGTGCCAGCA